TTTTTGTAAATGCTCATGGAGTACTTGAGAATATATTAAACTCTCATCAATTTGCACAGAGAAGGGGAAAAAAAGTGAGCAGGGGCTCACAAGCACCACATAGGGAAAGGCAGTACATTCTCCATTGTGAATTTGCAATCTTAAGATCTAGCTTATTCTTGTAACTGAAGCTTTTCCTAATATATTGTAAATGAAGTGCAACATGCTGATTATATATCAGTACAGTAATGAAGGATGAAGGTAGAGAATTCTATAAATCTTCAGTGATCTAGGTGTTGCTAAAATAAATTTTTTTGCTAATACACTATATTTCTGAAGAATGCCACTCATCACCCAAAATATTTTGCCTTACTCCCTGGAGTGAAGATTTGCCAGAGTTATTTAATGTCTTCTGCAGAATCTTAATCCATATATTCTGGCACCAGGAACAGCATTCTTGCAGAAGCTGTCCATTAATGAAATCCTGTTTGTATTCTTCCACTTACAAAAAAAAAATATGGGTGTGAAATAGACAACCTCAAAAGAATGAGTCAAAGAAAGATGATGCTGGAGTTAATATTTATTTGTTTTAAAGACTTATATAACCTTCCATTTTATAATACAACTCTGTTTATGGTGAGGACAGGATTGCGTTGGCCATCCACGACATTTTTTTGACTTGAAACTTCATTTTGATGATACTTTGGTTGTGTGAAAGAGTTGATAGAAGCAGGCTTTTGATGTGGATTCAGCAGCACTTTTCAATTCAGGCAAATCCAATAACTGAAATGTATATAACCCTTAGTTATATACAGTGGGTTGGCTCGCATCAGATTCTAATGCAAACTTATTTGCAATGCAATTTTGTCTATACCCATTCAGGGAAAAAAAGGTCCTTTAGAGCTTTAACTTTACACTTCCAAATAGCTGGAGAGAGTAATATTTAGGCTGAATGTCTTTGGTGTACTGTACAACCCATGTCCTTTAAAAAAAAAAAAGGAATTGTAACACCTCAGAGATTAACCAATGTATTATATCATAATGGCAGGTATTGCCTCAAATAGATTTATCAGATTATGTAGACATTGGGGTGGGGGGACTTGATCCCTTCCCCATCAGCTGTCTGATATAAAATTCCTACCACTTCCTTTCTAGGAAGAAAATGAACCTCAAATAGTTCCTTCTCCTCCTCCATTATATTCTCTCCCAGTGCCAAAGTTGATTAGCTGCATAGTCCATTGTGGTACCTTGGTCAGTTACTCATGGCTTGGGAAGAAATTATTTAAGGCTTTGACAGAGAAAGATGAGTGAGAGAAACAGGAAAGGGGAGAGACAGATAGACGAGAAGAGGAAAAGCTTTAATTTCTTATAATTATACAACCAAGTAAGCTCCAGCCAATCATTGTAAGGGAAGAATATTGTCTAAATAATATCTGAAAATTAAAGGTTTCAGATTTCAAAAAGATACATTGCTGAATAGTTATACTGTTGGAGGTAATGAACCTCTGATATTACTAGCCATGCTTTTACACTGATAAGACTAATGGGTTATCTTCCTTGACTGCAGAAAGAGAAATCTAAATCTCTGACTTTCTACTTAAAAATGAGCATGAGTTTGATTTTTTAAAATGCATGCCTACATTTTTCTCTATTAGAGCAGTAATTAATTACAATGTTATCAATCTGGTTATACAAACATGATGCATTTATTTTGCATCACATCTATATGTGATATAAGTATTTTGCATAGGAAGAAATCTGGAATTTCCATGTAGGACCTGGAGAGCCCTTTGCCTTGGTCCAGCTTTGTGCCCATTGCAGCAGTTTGCAGAAAGAAAAGCAATGCTGTCTAGCAATGCAGAATGGTTGCAGTCCAACACATCTGGAAGGCATGGCTAGGGAATTAGTCCAGTGGGTCATGGACAGATTTTCTCAGCTGACATCTTCCAGAAACATTAAAAAACAAATCCAGCCAATACTGACTAATTAATAGAGGACATCAAGCTAAGGAAAACAAGCACATTGTCTTCTGTACATTTTGCAAAAGAACACATATCTAAGGAATGTAATCTTTTGGCACTGTTTCCTTACAACACTAAATTAAATAGTTACTACATCTTTGCATTTCTTTCTTCATTGTACTTGTACTACCCTGTGTTTTACACTGTGTATGAATGATAAATAAATAATCATTCTCCTTTAATAAAATTTATTATCTGTTTGAAATCTGAAAAACTTTCCTAGTGACTTATAGTATCCAAATAAGAAACACAAATAATGTCATTCAGTTAACCAAAAAGAAAAAAAAATAAAATATGCATATTCTTTGCTTCTATTTACTGTCTCTGAGGCTGACTTCACATAACACACTCCTGGTTATAAAATTAATCTTTTTCTGGGTTCACAGAAGACACTGCAGGAGAGGAGAAGAGAGGAGAGGAGAGGGGAGGGGAGGGGAGGGGAGGGGAGGGGAGGAAAAGGAAAGGAAAGGAAAGGAAAGGAAGAACTAACCATACATAAGATGCTATTAAAATGCAGACTCCATGACAGAGTCTGGTTAGGTATCTTATTAACCCTAGCCATCTGCCTAAAAAAGAGGATGACAACTATCTTCTTACAGGTAAGGAATCTAGTCAGGATCAAATCCTCTGAAGCACTCCTAAGCATATCTGTTTGAAGGATAACTTACTGTCATCAATTTCAAAAGATAACCATATGAATCTTTGGAAAATAAAAACAATTTAAAGGCAAGCAAGTACATTTTTCTCACAGCAACTGCACACCATTGACGTTAATGAGGCTTACTTCTAGGTAATGCAGTCCAACCTACTCATAGCCTAAACTGTTGGTCAAAATGGATTTCTCTTCCTCCTCTTCTTTCTCACCATCCCCCTCCAGTTTTCAAGGCAGAAGAGCACAGCAGGCAATAGACCCTGTTGGATGTTGCCTTTTCCGTATGCCAAATTAATTTTAAAATTAGAAACATAAAAGCCTATTTGGTGTTTCATCATCAAACATGCTGAGTTTTTCTTGGCCATTTAAAGGCAAAAAAGACTGTACTTCACAAGCAAGCATTTGGAAATTGAGGGACTGCTAGCACTTTAAAGTAATTTTTAGTTATAATTTCAATGATTTTTTAAAGCCTTATGTTTACCTTTCAGTTGATTTAACTATTGTGGGTTTAAATGAATTGTTGGGAATTATGTTCGATCTATTTGTGAATCATCACAAATCTTGTGGATTTGGAGACAGAGAACATAAATCTTGTAATAAACAAGGAAATAAATCATTGCCTGCCATCTGGAGCTTTTCACAGAAGAGCTTGCAAATAAATAGCATGCAAAGTGCCCAAGCAAGAGAAGGTATGTTAGGATAGTTTTTGCACCTACCTATTTTGCTGAATTTACAGTCTCTCTCTCTCTCTCTCTCTCTCTCTCTCTCTCTCTCTCTCTCTCTCTCTCTCTCTCTCCCACTCCTTCCTTCTCTCCCTCCCTCCCCTCTGTGTGTGAGTGCGTGCACATGCCTGTGCTTGCTTGTGTAATGAGTTTCTCCTGCCCACAATCTTCTCTGTATAAAATGTAATAGCAAAATTGTATAGAAATCCTTCATCTTCTCACAGAGGATTAATCTGGATTTGAATTCCCACCACCACTACCTGGATTTGGCCCACCTCTTTGACTTTTTGTGCCATTCATTAGAAAACTTATTCATGCTAGAACATTGCAGGGTAATTAATTGAAACAAAGACGTACCTTTGGGTAGTAAAAAGGAAGGGGCAGGTAAAGACATGAAGGAGATTATAATTGTGTGGAGGGATAGATCTGGGTTTTTTAATTTATTTTTTATTAGATTTCTATCCAGCCTTTCTTCTAGAAACTCAAGGAACTCAATCCTATGCTAGCTCCAGAGCCACAAACCTATGGTTAGGCTGAGAGATGACTGGTCAAAAGTCAATTATACTTTATTGCTTTCTGGGTGAGATATAAAGAGGGTGAAGGGGGAATACATCGGTTACTGTTTTTGCTCCTTGCGTGATTAGCTGCAGCCCAAAAAGAGGGAACAGCAGTGCAGATATGTAAGGAGATCTCTGATCTCCTCTGGCTCCCTGTGGTTTTTAGTTGCTTGAGAGATTAATAGATATCAAGAAGACCCAACTGCCCTCCATGTACACAGATTTTTTAGTGGGTCAGGAAATATAAGAAAAGGAGAGACAGTTTTAGAAATCCAACAGAATTTGCAAGGTGTGGGGAGCAAACTGATGTGAATGAAGAGGCCCTGTTTGGCCTCACTTTGCTCTCCCCCTTCCTTTCTACTACCCAAAGGAACATCTTTGTTTCAACTAATTACTCTGCAAAGAGAGTCTGAGAAATTTCAATAAGTTGGCAAATCTGACTTTTGACATGAAGGCATTATTTGGAGTGGTAAAAGTCTCAACTGCTAAATAAATACGGTTGCCAGCCCTACATCAGCATCTCCCCTTCAGTCGGTTGCCCAAGAACTGCCCCCCTTCAATTTCAGCGCAAGTTCTCCCCCTCTGCCAGCTGGAGACGGTCCCCAGTTAGGTTATTTGGATTTTACACCCAGCACTCTGTAGTTTACAAACAAGTTGTAAATGTGTCAAACGGTTGGTTTCTGAAAGGCATCTCTTGAGGTGGGACTCGGGCGCCTATCTCCTTCCTTGGCGGCAAAGGCGAAAGTCTGACTTCTCGGGGCGCCCCTGGATCCTCCCCGATTAAAAGCAAAAAGGAAAACGATCTCTCTATCAACTATTGATCGATCGATCTGTCTTTCTGTCTATCTTTCTGTCTCTTGAAAAGTTACCACCTGGAGGGACACATTCCCAGGGGAGCAAGTATCCAAAAGTACCAGGGAGTGTTCAGCTATTTGGCCAAAGAATTAACAATTAAGACGAAAAGCAGAACGCTGTAATGGAAAGACTGAAAACCTTTCTTACAGATCCGAAGAGAGATAAAGTGTACCAAATAGGATGCCCAAGTCTTTCTCTGCTGGACGGGCACCGTTTCTCCCTCTGACCCTTGAATGGTAGCCATTCTCTGGAAGAGAGGGAACTTGGGTACGCTCCCCATCCCCACAAGGGAAGGCGCCGCCACCACCACAGGCCACCCCTTGCCCGAGGCCGGTCACGTGAGGGCGCTGCCCCTCCCGCTCTACTCCCCCCTTGCCACTACAGCATTTTCGCAATTGTTGCCCCCTCCCCCCGCACGTCTTCTGCCAAAGCGCCTCAGCCAATGAGCGTCCCGTTCTGAGAAGCCACGTCCTTCGCTTCGGGTGGGAGCGGGAGAGGGCAGCAGCGCTGCGGTCGGGCGCCCGGGCGACCCTCCTTCGGTTGCAGCCAGCCTTTTAAAGCGGTCCTTCCGGCCTTACCCGCCTCCCAGTCCTCGCGCCCCGCTCGCTTCCATTCCCCGGCCAGAGCGAGGCGAGCAGCAGCCGCCCATGTGCCCTTCGGCCACCCTTTACTCTGGATGGAGCCCGAGGCAGCCTTCGGAGGAGCCCGGAGGAGCCTGGACGAGGCGCCCGGCAAAAATCTGGATGGTCTGCTGAGCTTGCCTCCCTTCCCGGCCGGCGGTCCCTGCAGGGCATCCAGCCCTCCAGCGCACGGCCCCTCCGGTTACGTGCCCCTGGATGCGCCCCTGCCTCCCCTTGGCTCCGGGGAGTCTTCTTTGCACTCCAAACAGTGCACCCCTTGTCCGGCTGTCTCACAGACGCCCTCAGCCAGCAGTACTTCGCCCTTCCCTTACGGCTGTTTAGGTGGCGGCTGCTATTCGTACCGAGTGGCCCGCAGTGCCCTTAAGCCGTGCCCGGCTCCGCCGCAGGCCGCCTACACAGCCGAGAAGTACTTGGAGGTTTGCGGGGCTGCCGCCAGCGCGCCCGCCGCCCCAGAGGATTATACGACCCGCCCGGCTGAGTTCGCTTTCTACCCGGGCTACGCTGGACCTTATCAGTCCATGACCAGCTACCTGGACGTTTCTGTGGTTCAGACTCTCGGAGGACCTCCGGGCGACCCCAGGCACGAAACTCTCCTGCCCGTCGATCCTTACCACGACTCCTGGGCCTTGGCCGGGGGCTGGAACAACCAAGTGTGTTGCCCCAAGGAGCCCAACCCTCCTGGGCCCTTTTGGAAAACTGCCTTTACAGGTAATGCTTTGTGCCTGGACAGCAAAGAACACACCGCCAATCTTGCAGCTCTTGGGGGGGGGGTCAGATGGCAGGGAGTTGGGGAACCAGTCCTGGAGCATCAGGAAAGTGTTTTGGGTTGATTCTGGATCCAGTTCCAGATAGGGGTGTGTTTTTTTTTTGTCCTGAGAAATAGTTTTGCAAAAATGGGGGGAAAGTAATTCAGTTAGATAATACACTTGCATGGTAATTTTACGTAGATTGGGTAAGTGGGAGGAAAAGACAATTACGTACTGGCAACAGCCAGGGTCTAATTTCTCCAGGATTGAACTCAGTGCCTCCATGAAATAGTAAAGGGTTCCCTTCCCCTTAACATGAACAACTTTCCAGCTACAGAATTTAACTGAGGACAGGTAAACCTCAACATATGCCTTGATATTTATTTAGTAGGCTTTGCCCTAATAAATTGACTATATAAAAGAACTGCAAACTAGAGGCATTGCTGCAGAAATGGCATTTTAGAATTTTATATTTTTGATTCCTTGGTGTCTCTCCTTGGGCTTCCCTGGATTCTTTATCAATATTTGAAGAATCAGCTATCCAGGAAATAGGACTGATTTTCTCTTCCCAAAATGTGGATATGACAGAATGGTTTCAAACCCTTTTCAATAGATGCAGAAATTTTTTTGATAGAGTGCTTCAATATTATTAATCTGCTAGCAGAGATTAGCCCAAATTTAAGACAAAGGCATGCAGGTTGAGGTATTCATTTCACTAAGGGGACTGTCCCAAACCATTTGCCCAAGAAGGAAGAGAAAAGGGAGTTTGGGATTTGTCTTGTCTAGCAAGATCTTCTGGATGTTTAAGCACTGGACATATATTGTCTAACTGATTCAGCAGTGGAGAGGTTGTAAAAACTGCTGGGCTGCAATATTGCCCACAACTACCTTCCTCAACTTAGTGCCTTATTGGAGTACAACACCCATCATCACCTGCCTCCAGAATGCCCTGAAATGCCCAGAGCTTTATGAAGGAGGTGACTCAGACTAAGAATTCAAATAACAGCCAAGACTTTCCTTGTGAAAACTGTCCCTACAAAGTCCCTATTCTGCACGATAGTCCTCCGAAGTTAACAATCCTCTCCTTTAGATCCCTAGAGTGTTCTCTGATTTTATGACTGCAAAATGTTTTCCCTTCCCCTATATGATGACCATGGTCCCCCCACCCCCAATTCTTTTTTTCTCCCAGATTGATATTAAGAGTATTAAAAAGAAAAAGAAAAAAAAAGAGGAAGAACAACTTAAAATGTTTTTTAAAGACAGCTTGGATCAGACAATCTTTCTTAGGAAAAGAAAAATGGGGGTGGGAGAGAATTTCAGAAGCAGCTTCTCTAAACACCGTCCCCCTGCCCAGTGTTGTGGTTCTCTTTGTGGTCTGTAAGCGACTGGGGATGGGTGGGGGTTAAATTCTGTCTGACTTAGCAGCCTTAAGAGATTGTGGGACCTCCCTCTTCCTGCTACTTTTAGTGCTGTCTCAAGGCCAGGCCACCACAATTTATGGCTGCAGTGCATCAAGCCATTACCGGCAGTTTAAGCTTGTAAAATTTGGTGAGAATTCTCAAGGAGTACATGTGCTTCTCCATGCAATCCTGATCAGCAGTCATTAGGCAAGTATTGGCTTAAAAGTGAATTTGTTATTTTTACTAGCTATTCTGGAAGCTAATTTTCCAAGCCTAAGTGAGCAAGAAAGTAAAACAGAACAAAAATAAAAATCTCCCTGTGAAAATCTCTGTATACTTCTAAATTTTACATGCTTCTGTTTAAATTACCTCTGAGTTAATTTTCTACTAATGTCAATGCATACAAATAATGTTTGTCCCAGCTCACACTTTAAAAATTATTACAGCTCTAGCCCAATATTTTTGAGTGGAGGAGTGTCAAGGGGGAAAAAAATGACCTATATTGCAAGTAAATATTTTTATTTGAAAAATAATCAGTTTATTTTCACTGCTGCTCAGACTAGCAATTATAAATCCAATAATACTCTTTGCCATGTTGCTTTGTTTTTATGTTTTTTAAAGTTTATGTTTTAATATGTTGCTTCACCCCACCCCCCCACCCCATTCAACTAAGTATTGGCTCCTGGAACTTCATGGACAAATCCATGCAGTTGTCTAGCCAGAATTTTTTGAAGTGTTTTATCAATGCCTTTTTCCTGTGGTTAAGAGAAAGTGACTGACTCAAAATTATGTTTTCAAAATTCTTTATCAACATTTAAATTAAGATTGACAATTTCTTGAAGCAGTATTTCATTAATAGGTATATGTTCTAAGCCATAACATTGATTTTATTTTATTAGCAACAAGAACACTATGGTATATTACCCAGCCAATATTTAAAAATACACTGTATGCTGATAACATTATTAGATAGATAGATAGATAGATAGATAGATAGATAGATAGATAGATAACCTTTATTGTCATTTTTACTGTGGCACACATGAAAAATGAAATTTTGTTGCTTGCTCTCAAAGTGTATACATACATAACACACATTTAAACATACTATATACAACATATGTATAGACCTACACCTACAATTTAATATTGTATTCTTTCATTTTTATTTCTTATTTACGTAAGTACAACTTTATTAAGCTTATCCAGTACAGTTTCAAGATGAATATGATAATATAGAAAAATACTATGTTGTAAAAATTATACCGATTTCACAAGTTAAACAATATATACATATATATATATATATATATATATATATATATATATATATATATATATATAATATATATATATATAAAAGATATGTAGGTCTTTGGTTATTCAGGTTTTCTCCCGCGTAAAATTGGAAGTGTCTTGGTGATGTCTCGACAAAGTCCCATTCGTCATCTTCAGGCTGGTGTTTTCAGCTTCGTGCTCCTCGAAGCACGAAGCTGAAAACACCAGCCTGAAGATGACGAATGGGGCTTCGCTTCGTTGAAACGTCCCAAGACACTTCCAATTTTACGCGGGAGAAAACTCGAATAATCAAAGACCTACATACAAACACCCGCGAAAACCTCAGAAAACATATAATACATACATACATACATACATACATACATACATACATACATGTATATATATATGTATGTATACAACAGCATACACCCTAGTGGCTCACCTTTCCAGAGATCACAAAATCACACTCTTTTAAAAGTGTTTGTTTTAAAACTGGCCATTCTTTAGTGACATCTTACTTTGATCCAGTATTTCAAATTAGTTACTATATCTACTTCAGAAACAATAATAATGGGCAGTGCACATTAAAAAAAATTCCATCAAAAAGGAATGGATTAGCTAAATGGAGCTTTTGCAGGACCTTCTCCCTCTCAATGGCCACAGTCCCAGTGGTGGAAAGAGATAATTTTAGACTCAGCTTATTCATTTTCTGAGGAATGAAGACGCTTCTTAAATGGTAAGTGTTTTATTTTACTTACTTGAAAATGCAGTAAACTAATTGGCTCTGTTATGAGGTCCTCTGACTGATTGTAGATGATCTGAAGCCTTCATCCATTCTGGTTTCTGCCACAGTCTTACTTTGAAAACATCACTGAGTTCCCTAACCCACAACTGAGTTATTAAAGCATAGTATTGATACAGTTATTGTTACTTGTTGAGAGCTGTGTGTGTGTGTGTGTGTGTGTGTGTGTGTTCAAGTAGTGTAGATTCCTGGTGATTTTCTGGACAGGTCCTTGAAATTTTCTTGACAAGATTTTGGAAGTGATTTGTTATTACCTCCTTCTTAGGGCTGAGAGAGTATGAATGGCCCAAGTCACCCAGTTGGCTTTTGTGCCTAAAATCTTCCAATTTCTAGCCTAGTGCCTTAACTAGGACATTAAACTAGCTCTCATTATTGTTACTTACAGTTGCATAATTTTAGATAAATTAAAAACTACCCACATTCTGTAATGCACAACAATTCACACTGCCTAAATATGCAATTTTTTTTGTTAATACATCCCACTGCATGTAGCTTGCAAGAAGCATTTATCCTGCATTAATATTTCAGCATTGTACATACTGGTGTGCAGTATACCTGCCAGCTTCTCTATATATTTGCAGGAAAGGATATTAATCCAGAGAGTAAGAAGAAAAAAAATGTATTAGAAAAAAGCAAACATTGAATACAAACAAATCTTCCATTTTATAGGCTTTAGTCAAGCATTTTCCAATATTTTTATGCAACTTTAAGCAATTTAAAATCCAACGGGTTACCATGCTTAGAGGATGAATACTGAAATTTAAAAAAATCATTAATTCTGATTTTTAACTGTAAAAAAGCATGAGTAATGATATTTAATTCCCATATTCATATGAATTCATGCTTTTCATCAAAGATACAATATAACATGTTAATAATATAATATAATATAATATTCATATAATATTAGATTAGAAGATCCAGTCAATTATTTAAATTGTATACACTGACAGTAATACATTTTATTTTAACTTATATAAGTCACAACTAAATTCCTAGAGTGAATCATTTTACATTAATGTCCAGATCTGTAAGGATTTTTTTCATGCATAAACCATGAAAATATGATGACTGGAAGTAGACGTCTGAAATAATATTTATTTGTTGAAATCAACAGAAATAAAGTAAAATCTCATTGCATATGCACATAGATATTTAGATATTGCATGCCAGTTGTGCTCTTTAAAAGGAGTGCATACCTACAAGTGATAGAAACAACTATTTTGGGTTTATTTTTTTTCTTGTACTTGATTAAAAAAATACAGTCTGGGTAGTTTACAAGTGTAAGTTACTGTGGACTACCATGCAATGTTACTATGGATTGTTTGTCTTGCAATATTTAATATAAAAAGATTCTCCCAAATAAAAATAATTTATATTATTTTTTATTTAGTTCACTGCAAAATTGTACATTCCTGAATATGGAATTTGCCTTGTTACAGTATTATGATCTGCCTGGGGACAAGAACTGTTGTTTCGTTTTTTTCCCTCGAATTTCAATAAGAGGAGCAGTTTTAATAACATTAGTAGCTAAAATACCCTCTTCCTCCAAAGAAACATGGGCCTTGCTGAATTCCTTGAGCAGCAACTATTACTATAGCCTGAACAACTTTGTTTAAATTCAGTAATTTGGTGCAACAAACGAATCTATTGTGGCATAGCTCCCATCCCTCCTATCTGCAGATTTGTATGAATTAACAACTCCAAAGTCCTGGGAGTACAACAGCATTGCTAAACACAGACCTGTGACCTTGAGTAATAGTCTACTCTAAGGTAAAAAGTTTTACCTGGTGTAAAAGTTTTACCTGGGAGCAAGGTGTAGAGAAACCAGTTGGGCTTTACAACATATGGTAGCTTCAAATCAATTCACTTGCAAAGATTTGAGCCCCCAACAAGTATACTATCGCAAAGGGACTCCTTTGTGATTTTGTCCTCTTTCTTTATTATTCCTTAGAATACATTAACCCCTATGCATGGACACGTGCTAGTTTGCCTCGGGACAAAGAAGGATGGAGAGATTGGAGGGGGGGGGATTGCGAGGATAACACTATAGGATAATTTAACTAACACTGATTACTTGGAGGGGTAGGGGTGGGGAAGAGAGACGAGAAATTCCTCCAAACAAAGGCAGAAATACCCGTTTCCCCCCTCCCTCCATGCTGAGGCCTTCTTGGCTCGCCCTACGGGCCTTGCTGCATTTTGCGCAGATGTTTTGATTTAATATAGATTTAATATAAAAGGAACGGGATTCCAGAGCTCCACGCTAGTCTTGGAGAACCAACATGGAAGGTGAAAATCATAAAAAAAAATTGAAGAGGGGGGGGGGAATAAAGCGAGGGGGGGGACAAATCAGTGAGCACGTGGGGAAGAACGCCAAGGCCCACTGCTCTCTCCGGGACACCGGGGAAACGGCCAACAAAGGGCTCGAACTGAGAAGGGGCCCCTTTGCTGAACATGTGCGCCTGCCAGTCTGCCTGCCTGCCTCCACTCGCGGCTGCTTTAACCTCCGTCTCTCTTTCTTCCCTCCGGCCAGACGCTGTAAGTCAATCGCCCCCCGAGGGCTGTACCTTCCGACGCGGCCGCAAGAAGCGAATACCGTACAGCAAAGGGCAGTTGAAAGAGCTGGAGAAGGAATATTCCAACAGCAAGTTCATCACCAAGGACAAGAGGAGGAAGATTTCCGCCGCCACTAACCTTACCGAGAGACAGATCACTATCTGGTTTCAGAACCGGAGGGTGAAAGAGAAGAAGGTGGTGGCCAAGGTCAAAAGCGCCACTGCCAGCAGCAGCAGCAGCGGTAGTAGTGTAGGCGGTGGCGACGTCTCTTGAGACTCGCGCGAAGGGAGGAAGGTGGCCTGGAGGGAACAGGCAAAGAAAACAAAAACAAAAAATAAAACAGGGGGCGCAAGAAACTCCCGCGGGGTCGCCCACGTGACGCCTGCAAAGGCTCCTGCCCTCCGAGGCCTTCTGCTAGGAGGGCGACGGCCCTATCGAGGGCGTCCGTTGATCTCTCGTCACCTTTTAAATTTGTTCTTAATAATATATTTTTAATTATTATCATAATTATTGCTGCTTTGTTTCCCCCGAGAAATTAAAACTCACTGTGGGAACAGCCGATGATTTAAAAACAAAAACCAAAACCCGAAGCGATACCATCCTCGTTCTTTTCCCGATTTTATAAGAAAGGGAGGAGGAAGAGGAGAAGACACCTTGTGCAATTATTTTTCCTTTCTTTTCCTTGAAATGAAGGTGCCTTAGGGCTTTTATTCTGTGACCTTGCTTTCTTTGTCTGAAATTCAGTCATTCAGAGCTGCTTTAAGGGGTAAGGGGTGGGGAAGAAGAGAAAAGCCACCCAAGAAGAAGAAAAATCGCCTAGAATCGACCCGAATGTAAACAGATTATGCTAAGTATATATATATTCTGTCCCCAACACAGAATATACTTAGCATATTCTGTGTTGGGGAGAAGACTTTTACATATGTCAGATAATTGCCTATACTATAAAATTACCATTATATATTTTATTTTAAGACTTCGCGCTGCATATGAGGGCTGACCACCGCCTGAAGCTTTTGTTCTTGTTGATGATGATTCATACAGTATTTGCATACTACCAAAAACTAATTAAAAGTGCCTTTGAAGACACTGAAAAAAAGCCGTGGGGGAATTTACAATGTAATAAACACAAGTTATTGCATACCGAGGGAAAAGCCATCTTTAATGTTTCATTTTTTTTTTTTAATCCTCTCTTAGAGATATCCATCCGAGTAAAATTTGTTGCTATAGTTCCGGGCTCAAATTTTGCCCTAGCCATTCTGGAATCGTAACACCTTTGTCTATATATTTAAGAAGGGACATAGAAACATGCATACGCGCTTTTGCAAGCCGTGGGCTCCCCATCGTGCAACTTTTACGATTCCCGCTTTCTATTGTCTTGAAAGTCTGCTCAGATCTTCAGACAGCTGGAAGGGAGATCCTTGCATTCCACGCACTTTTTTCCGAAAGGGAACGCCTTCAGAAGCCGGGGAGAAGAGCATTCGGCGACTTAGGAGCAGGTTCCATCACCTTAGTGATGATTTACGGGGGTCTTATGGCGTCATTCAAAGGGTCGCGGAGCCGACAGAATAGCGAGGACGTCATCGCTAAAACTTCCAATTGAGTGGTCTCCTGGTGACCACATGGAGTCTCCAAATTGCCTTGGCAACAGGCAGGCTTTGTATTGCCTCAACAACGGCTGGGTGACACTGGAAGATGCTGTAAATCGTTCGCCAAGAAGTGGCCATTCAGAGCAACTGATTTTTTTCGGTTAGTACAACGAGGGAGATTTACGTTTCGAATATCTATTGTTTATATTGGATCTGGAGGCTGAGATTTCGAAATTGCCATGCAAAGTGGCGCACGAGGCTTGGTTAGCCCTCGAATCTCCGCAGTTCCACTAGAACCCACCAGCCGCCCGCCGAAGCAAGCCGAACTCTGTGGGAGGAGCCTGAGAAGGGGAGTGAAGTGCTGCACTCGAAGTATCCCTAAACAAACGAAAATCTTTCCTAAAATTCTAATTTTGCAGAAGTATTTAGAAATGTCTCTGGCGCTCACACCGATTATGATTCTACAGCAAAGGACACCCTACCTAAAGCAAGTTGCTTTACCAAAAAGCTTAATGCGAAGATGTGCAAGTATATTGCCCATTTATATATTTTTGTATTTCATAATACATTATCCAAAATAATAAGAGATTGCGTAAGCAGTACTGTATTTATTATTTGACACAATATGATCAATGATAGTTGAATGTGTGATACAGGGGTCCTCAGACTTGGCCACTTTAAGACTTGTGGACTTCAACTCCCAGAATTCTGGCTGGGGAATTCTGGGAGTTGAAGTCCACAAGTCTTAACAAGTTTGGCCAAGTCTGAGGACCCCTGATGTGATATAAAATGCATGAGAAGATAGTTGTGATAAGTATTCTGAAACTTCCCGCCTTTTATTCTTTAGCCATTTCTTTCTCCGGAGAAACTTTAGAAACCTCAAAGAGCAGAATGGAAATGGCTCGATGGTCTACAAACAACTTCACAGACTACATAGTCGCTCCTCGTTTGGGTCCAACTTCGACCTTTTAATCGACCTGTAACAGGGCCCATGGCAAATGACCTCTTCTCTCACTCAGCGCATCGACCATAAACCTCAAACAAAGGTTCCAGTTTTATTTTAGGGCCTCAGTTTATTTCACTTTGCGTTGATAACCACACCCTTGAACTAGCAGTCTTGCTTCGCACCCTCTCCTGGGGGTGTTGTCTCGCAGAATTAAATGCATAAAACTCAGCAAGAGGTTCATGGTGACCGAAGGAAAAGGCGCACCCAAGTTCAAGGGCAGCTCTCTCGTGCCAGGCCCTCTCTTAGAGATGCTCCAGGAGACACTTAGATGTTTTAAAATAAATTCGCCTGTCAAGTGATTCGGATTTTACAGCCGGTAAGCATCTGTTGTGCGTACTTCGGCGCCTATTTACTTAGTAGACGAAGGATGGGACGAGGGAAAACTCTGCCGTTATGCTCCTAACCATATGGCAGGAAGAATTTCACATGAAGTAGAAAACAAAGGACTGGCCGAACTACCAACAAGGGAAGCCAGGATTTTTTCCTCAATATATATATTTTTTCTTCCGTTGAATGCTGTTGACTCGGAGACGTCTTGGACAAGTACCCCAAGTTTTCTTGGCAAGGTTTTTTTTTTTGTTTGTTTGTTTTACTAGTCCTTTGCTATTGCCTTCTTCCTAGGGCAGAAAGTGATTGATCCAAGGTCCCCCAATTATCTTTGTGCCTAAGGCAGTACCCGAATTCACCGCCTCTTGGTTTTCAACTTGATGCCTTAACCACTAACCAAACTGGCCCTGTATACTCTTCAATATGTACTTCTAAACTCGGGGAATTCATATTCTTTATTTTATTGAACATGATATGTCTGTTGATCCTCCAACCCAAAGACCTAGAGATTTCTCCCCAGGCTTGCCAGAAATCAGCTAACAATGTTTCCAGGGCTTACAGGGCTACAGTTACCCTAACTGTAACCGTCTAAAAAGAGGGATGGAGGAGCAAAAAAAGGGGGACTAATATATTTTGGATAATAATGGATATCCTCCCCCCCCTTTGGAATGATCTCTAGCTCTGAGCCTTCTTCAAAGGCCTTCCATCTGTGAGCCCATTTCTTCTCTTTCTCTTGGACCCCAGATAATAAAAATGTCAATCTGAGAATGCAAGGAGAAAGGCTGGAAGGTGAGGGTTTACTTTAGAGGTGCTTTTGCAACCAATATTTGCTACATCCAGTAGCAAGGCAAGAGGAGAACGATTTTCCATTCACTTTACATCATGATTTAATTCTTGACTCTAGAAACCAAGACTTAGTTAACTTAGTTAACTCAGGTCTCTTACCCTGGAAGTAGAGATTCTTAAAAGCCAAATAGGTTTAAGAGGTTTCCCATAGAGGAAAATAGAATATATATAGCTGGGGAGTCCTTGGTACTCTCTGACCTTGACTGTTTGTTTTCAGACGTTTTCATTACCCAAGTAGGTAACATGATCAGTGCTAGTGAGCATGAGGTTGGCTCCCAGTTTACATAGACTAGCTTGTCCTGCCAGTGTTGATGGGTGTGGTTTTTAAAGATTTGTTAAGGAAGTGATGCTTACTTTCAAGATTAAGTCACATACGCCACCTTCCGGTTGCGGGTTGTGAGGTTTAGTGCAGATGGCAGTGTTTCCTCCTTTCCACCCTCTTTTTTCGCCTTTCCTTTTACTCCGGATAAAATATGTCTTAATCTATGCATATGTCTCCTTTCGTGTTTCCTATCAATTTTTGATGAATTAAATAAACCATTAAAATTATCTCCAAAAACTGAAATTTCCTGTTTTATAGATCTGAACTTAGGACAAAAATTAGGACAAACTTGATTTTGAGCGATTAATTTTACAAAACTTGCTCCTACCCTACTTTAAAAATAAATAGTGAAAATTAGTAAGTTGCATGTTCAATAAGCTCTGTTATGTGTATTCTTCTCTCTCTTTTTTTACAATAAACTTGTATGATTATCTTTTGTGGACCTTCATGTGATTAATCTCATTCTGAACCAGGTGAACAAGGAATATACTCAGATGGATAACGTTATATAGTTTAAAGAAGATATGTTTATAAAACACCATTGATCTACCCACATAATTTTAAACGTGTGTGTATGTGGGGGAGGGAGAGATCCTCTGTATGTGTGAGATTTATTGTTGATTTCAACTTGGGTTGCCTCCAAATCAAATCAAAACCATCCCCCATTCCCTTGTCTAAAATAAAATACTTTCATTGTTTGCCTTCCCTATTTCCAATTCATGGAATGTCCATTCCCTAATTCTCCTTTTTGTTCCTGACTCAATTCTTCTAAAAAGGTGAATTCCTGAAGCCCAATGGTGGAGGCTTCGCCTTTTGTTCACAGCCCAAAAATGGGGATGGGGGTGGGGGATGATGAAGAGGCCAAACCTCCGTCTAGTTGCTTTTCTGAAATTGCTAAAAGAACCAGATGAACAAAATGGCTGGCACGCATCAAAAACACAAGAGAGAGAATTGGGGGGGGGGTGTTTTGTCATTGGATCTACTCATGCTGATCTGAATAGCCGTGCCAATGCTGATAATTTTATCACCCCCCTGCATAAAATTCGAACAACGCTACTAGGAAACCAATTCTGCGATCGAAATCACCCATGTATTCATTATCTGGACTTTAAAAGGCTTAACTTTGATTTTACTAGCGCGTTTTCTGTATTCAGAAGGATGTGTGCAGAAACAAATGTTCAGCCGGACTCACACTTCTTCAAATGAACTCTGTTCGAATTCTGCTTTTAAAGCCCAATTAATTTTAGCATCAGGAATTAAAAAGCTACAACAGTATCTCAGTTCACTCTATATTAACTTCAGGGGGATTGGCCTTTACAAGTTGGTGCCTCTAAATTTGCCACATGCTGGCTGGGGATTAATGGGAATTGTAACAGTATTCTAGAAAGACTACTGGATTAGATTTGGGAGTAGGAACCCTGTGCCAATTTATCTTAGAGGCAGCCTCACGAATCAAGGGAAGTGTTGATCTTTGTGTGGACAAGTCTAGGCACTTTTTCTCTTCCATCTATACAAATGGTCTTTCATCTTTAAAGATTGATCACAACACACGACCTTAAAGAAAAATATTTTAAACTCAAAATCTTGAACACATTTACAAGGAAGTTAGTCTCACCGAGTTTAATAGCAATTAACTAACTGAATCTATATATTTAAGTCTATTATCTAAGCATCTACATATTTAAATTTTCTCTGAAATTTGTTCTGTCAGTGTTAAAGTCATATGCAAGAATTCCAGTTTGAAAGAGCAGCAAATATCTTCTAGGTAAATTCTTTCTGTTTGCGTGCATAATTGCAAGATTTGTTCATTGTCCCATAGATGTAAATATACAGGCCAACTTAATCATTATGTACAATGGGAATTAGTTAGAAACTTGATATCTGAAGAAGGTTGCTACAACTCAGTGAAATGTTTATTGTATACTTCCTTTTGTTTCTTGGAAACATAAGTCAGAAAGATGATGGTAACACTTTCTGACTTACAAATGTTATTAAAAGCCAGAAGCTTTTATGAAAGGTGTTACTAGACTCTTCCTCCTGATTTTTGACTACTATAGACTAATGTGAC